TAGTAGTTCATCAGTGGTATAATAGTAGTTCATCAGTGGTATAATAGTAGTTAATCAGTGGTATAATAGTAGTTAATCAGTTGTATAATAGTAGTTAATAAGTGGTATAATAGTAGTTCATCAGTGGTATAATAGTAGTTCATCAGTGGTATAATAGTAGTTAATCAGTTGTATAATAGTAGTTCATCAGTGGTATAATAGTAGTTCATCAGTGGTATAATAGTAGTTAATCAGTGGTATAATAGTAGTTAATCAGTTGTATAATAGTAGCTCATCAGTGATATAATAGTAGTTAATCAGTGGTATAATAGTAGTTAATCAGTGGTATAATATTAGTTAATCAGTGGTATAATAGTAGCTCATCAGTGATATAATAGTAGTTAATCAGTGGTATAATAGTAGTTAATCAGTGGTATAATAGTAGTTAATCAGTGGTATAATAGTAGTTAATCAGTTGTATAATAGTAGTTAATCAGTGGTATAATAGTAGTCCATCAGTTGTATAATAGTAGTTAATCAGTGGTATAATAGTAGTTAATCAGTTGTATAATAGTAGTTCATCAGTGGTATAATAGTAGTTAATCAGTGGTATAATAGTAGTTAATCAGTGGTATAATAGTAGTTAATCAGTGGTATAATAGTAGTTAATCAGTGGTATAATAGTAGTTCATCAGTGGTATAATAGTAGTTAATCAGTGGTATAATAGTAGTTCATGAGTGGTATAATAGTAGTTAATCAATTGTATAATAGTAGTTCACCAGTGGTATAATAGTAGTCCACCAGTGGTATAATAATAGTTAATCAGTTGTATAATAGTAGTTAATCAGTTGTATAATAGTAGTTCATCAGTGGTATAATAGTAGTTAATCAGTGGTATAATAATAGTTAATCAGTGGTATAATAGTATTTAATCAGTTGTATAATAGTAGTTAATCAGTGGTATAATAGTAGTTAATCAGTGGTATAATAGTAGTTCATCAGTGGTATAATAGTAGTTAATCAGTGGTATAATAGTAGTTAATCAGTTGTCTAATAGTAGTTAATCAGTGGTTTAATAGTAGTTCATCAGTGGTATAATAGTAGTTAATCAGTGGTATAATAGTAGTTCATGAGTGGTATAATAGTAAATCAGTTGTATAATAGTAGTTAATCAGTGGTATAATAGTATTTAATCAGTGGTATAATAGTAGTTAATCAGTGGTATAATAGTAGTTAATCAGTTGTATAATAGTAGTTAATCAGTAGTATAATAGTAGTTCATCAGTGGTATAATAGTAGTTAATCAGTGGTATAATAGTAGTTCATGAGTGGTATAATAGTAAATCAGTTGTATAATAGTAGTTAATCAGTGGTATAATAGTAGTTCATCAGTGGTATAATAGTATTTAATCAGTGGTATAATAGTAGTTAATCAGTGGTATAATAGTAGTTAATCAGTTGTATAATAGTAGTTAATCAGTTGTATAATAGTAGTTAATCAGTGGTATAATAGTAGTTAATCAGTGGTATAATAGTAGTTCATCAGTTGTATAATAGTAGTTAATCAGTGGTATAATAGTAGTTCATCAGTTGTATAATAGTAGTTAATCAGTGGTATAATAGTAGTTCATCAGTTGTATAATAGTATTTAATCAGTGGTATAATAGTAGTTAATCAGTGGTATAATAGTAGTTAATCAGTTGTATAATAGTAGTTAATCAGTTGTATAATAGTAGTTCATCAGTGGTATAATAGTAGTTAATCAGTGGTATAATAGTAGTTCATCAGTTGTATAATAGTAGTTAATCAGTGGTATAATAGTAGTTCATCAGTTGTATAATAGTAGTTAATCAGTGGTATAATAGTAGTTAATCAGTGGTATAATAGTAGTTAATCAGTTGTATAATAGTAGTTAATCAGTGGTATAATAGTAGTTAATCAGTGGTATAATAGTAGTTAATCAGTTGTATAATAGTAGTTCATCAGTGGTATAATAGTAGTTAATCAGTGGTATAATAGTAGTTCATCAGTCGTATAATAGTAGTTAATCAGTTGTATAATAGTAGTTCATCAGTTGTATAATAGTAGTTAATCAGTTGTATAATAGTAGTTAATCAGTGGTATAATAGTAGTTCATCAGTGGTATAATAGTAGTTCATCAGTGGTATAATAGTAGTTAATCAGTGGTATAATACTAGTTAATAAGTGGTATAATAGAAGTTAATCAGTGGTATAATAGTAGTTAATAAGTGGTATAATAGAAGTTAATCAGTGGTATAATAGTAGTTAATCAGTGGTATAATAGTAGTTCATCAGTGGTATAATAGTATTTAATCAGTTGTATATTAGTAGTTCATTAGTGGGATAATCGTTCCGTTGATCGGAATACACCGAGTGAGTCAGCTCATGAAGGGAGAAGGAAACTGGATAAGTTGGCGAAAGCCCCCATACAGAACGAGGCCATTTGTCTAAAAAAATATATATATAAAAAGCTCCACAACTCATCGCATTTCTCGGGGACAAGTGGTGAAGAGTCTGGAGCCTCCGATCACCGAGCAGCGTGGACATAGACGGGATGCCGGGGAGCTCGCGTTCAGAGGCGGGGGAAGCACGCGGTTTACAGAACGCACACAGGGTAGACAGGCATCACCATCATCACCACCACCACCACCACCTTCATCTCCATCCAGACCACGACAGAAACTAAATTTGCACGTTTAATTTATTTATGCCCCGTCATGCACAGGGTGGCCCAAAAGTCAGGACACGGGGTTCTATTTGAACACATCACATCCGGGTTATGTCAGCTGCTTTATTGAACACGTCTTCGAAGCGACTTCCGTTATTAGTCGGTAGATATATTCTTACAGTCCGCTTTGACAACCCCCAACTGCTGCTCAGCACTCCCACGGGTGTCTAGGGGCTGCGTTAGCCTGGCACCACAAGCTATGGAACGCCTTCGCCACTTGAAATCGGGCGATCGGAGTCGGTAGATAGATACTTAAGTCCGTGTCGAAAATCCAATCTCTTTAAAGTGAGCTTCCCCCTCTTCAGTTCGGTCGGTCTGGGCCCAACCCCTCCCCAAACCCCCCCCCCCACCCCCCGCCCCCCCCCGGTTCTGTTTTTGTTTCCTGCCTTCCGCACATTGGGAAGCCCTGGGTGCGATGCGCGTTAAACATTTAAATCGTCGTCATAATTGTTATCATATTAACGCATTCCCTCCTGAAATAAACGTGGGAACTTTTTGTTTGCATAATCTTGGAACATTCAATCAATTCAGGTCCCCGGCTTCTCGGTCGAGGGATTCTTTCGGGACACCACCGCATACGTGGTCACCGGTGCGAATTTTGTCCCCGGATCCTCCTCCTCCTCGTTCTTCCACCTCCCACATCTAGCATCGACATCGACCGCGCGGCTGGGAGCGTTTCGCTGCCGCTAAGAAATTTCCACGCGGTCGATGATCGGCGAGCCAATTCGTTGAGCCGATATCATCCGCGATTAGCCAGGGAGACGCTTCTGAAAAATAGCTCCATAGCGAACCGTCAAATCTCTCTCCGTGGTGCCAACGTTAAAAATAACCGCCACTTTCTTCAAATTTTCTTGCTGTGGTTTTCACACCTGACGATGATTTGCTCGTGTTGCAGTCGAAACGTCGTGAGAATTTCATCGTTTTATATTTTTCTCATTTTATTGTTTCCCCTCCTACGTGACTTTACCGAAAGAACCAATAATATAAGCTCCACAGCAGTTGAGTAGTGGGGCCTTACACCTGGCAAAAATATAAAACAGCTAAACAGTTTGGTTCTACGTCAGTCAGTCACTCAACAATAGCGGTGTGGGGTAGAGTGAATGTGCGCGCGAAGCCGCAGATTGAGCCAGGCAACGACCCAGACAAAGCCGCCCTGCGTGGCCTCCCGCAGGCCGTAGGGGCAAGTGCTGTTAGCAGCAGCGAGTAGCAGCGGGAGCAGCGGCGCCTATGAAAGCTACCGGCACCGTGGCACACACAGAGAGAGGTTGGGCGTGGTGGCTGGCACCACCACGCCGCACCACCACGCCGCACCACCACGCCACCGTGCCCGCCTGCCCGCCCGCCCGCCCGCCCGCCCGCCCGCCCGCCCGCCAGCCCCTTGTTCTATTTTAACAAATTGGGAGGGCGCTTTTAAAACCGAATTACATTTTAACGTAAACGCGTTCTCTCTTCATTCTCGACAATAAATCGTGGGACGCTTAACTCAACAACGAAACGAAACGAACGAAACAATTACTTTGCAACAACCTCCGAACGTGTCACCTACAAATCAACCGCTCGCACGCGTGTGCTTTCCGTTCACTCGATTCATTCCCCCGG